ATGTCGTTGTGGAGGTTGAGGATGTTAATGATCACGCTCCTCAATTCGAGAAGAAAGAAACGCGTTTAGAAATTTTAGAATCTGTGTCGGTTGGTACACGAATACCCCTCGAGCCTGCCGCTGACCCAGACATAAACTCGAACTCAATTAAAGATTATCAGATAAGCGCCAACCCTTATTTCTCATTAAAGGTTAGAGTGAATCCTGAAGGCGGCAAAACTCCAGAGCTGTCTCTGGAGAAACTCCTGGACAGGGAAGATCAGAGGTCTCATCGCTTGATACTGACGGCGCTGGACGGAGGGGACCCGCCCCGCAGCGCTACCACTCAGATAGAAGTATCTGTAAAGGACACCAACGACAACCCTCCAGTGTTCAGCCAGGAGGAATATAGGGTCAGTGTTAGCGAAAATCTGCCCCCAGGATCCTCCGTGTTGCGCGTGACAGCCACGGATAAGGATGAAGGCGTCAATGCTGAGATAAGTTACTATTTTCGCAGCACTGCCCAGAGCACGAGACACGTGTTCTCGCTGGATGAGAAAACGGGCCTGATTAAGAATAACCAGTCCCTGGACTTTGAAGACGTAGAAAGGTACTCCATGGAAGTGGAAGCGAGGGATGGGGGTGGTCTCTCGACACGCTGTAAAATCATCGTTGAAGTCCTGGACGAAAACGACAACAGCCCAGAAATACTCATCACCTCCCTCTCTGATCATATCCCGGAGAATTCTCCTCCTGGGGTGGTGGTCGCCCTCTTCAAAACACGAGACCGGGATTTCGGCGGAAACGGAGAAGTCAAGTGTGATATAGGCAAAGACCTGCCTTTCCAGATCCACGCTTCCTCCAGCAACTACTACAAGTTACTGACAGACGGAGCCATAGACCGAGAGCAGAACCCGCAGTATAACGTCACCCTCACCGCCACGGACAGGGGCAAGCCGCCCCTCTCTTCCAGTACAACCATCACTCTGCACATTACGGACGAAAACGACAACGCTCCGGCTTTCCAGAGGTCTTCTTACGTAGTTCACGTAATGGAGAACAACCCGCCCGGAGCCTCCATCGCTCAGGTCAGCGCCTCCGA